GGCCGAGCAACTCTGGTTGTACTCTGCCTAAAAAGATTCCAATTCGTCTACTCCTAACTTAAAATGTAGGGCCTAGAACCGAACACAGTATGCTAGGTGTGGTTTTCCTCCTTTTTCAAAATAATACAGTTCTCTCATTGAACCTACAATCTCATAAGCTTAAACACTCACATTCAGATTATTTGAAGATGCCAAATAAGACTTGATTTTTCCCACATATCACTCCTATTCTGGTATTTCACTTTAACAGTTGATTTGGGAGCCCAAGTCCAAGTATAATCTTCTTTAGTCTCTTCTGATTTGGCCATATTCTAGCTGATCAAGTATTAGGCCATCATGATTCTATGATTTTATTCTACTGTCTCTAGTTCTATCTCCTACAAATATGACACATGTGCTTTTTTATTTTTTACCTAAGTCTCTGGTAAATACTTTTCCCAAGTATCAGCTATAAAATTAAGCTCTGTGGAGACACACAAGGAACATTCTGGAGTAATGCTCCATTTAGATGCCCTCTTTTGGTAAAGCTATTTGGCACAAATTCAGTATTAAAAGACTTTCCTTAACTTCAAATGCCTGATACTTAACACATTTCCCTTATTTATTAAGTCAGGGAAAGGGGCGGGGGGGGGGGCCTGGGGGGGGGGGAATCATAGGACCTGATCTATTCACAGTGAATCCAGACTGACTCAGCAACAATTGCTGGTTTACTATCCATCCTTGTAATAATCTGTATTAAAATCTCATTCCAAATTGCAAAGGTCATCTTGGGTTGGTGGAGCAATACCAAAGAGAGGAAATAGAACTTCAGTTTGGCTAAGCACAGGGCACTTGTAGGAAATAGTAAAGGAAGGTACTGGGATCTTAGTACAGAAAATCTTGAAGCTTCCATTAAAGAGATTCTCATATTCCTAAAACCAACTGAGAAATGATCGAATGACCAGTAAAGCTTTATTAAATAGTAAATGTGTCAAAAAAAAAAAAAAAAGAGAGAGAGAGAGAGAGAGAGATTAGACTTAACTCTGAAGGTAGTGCAGAAACAGTGAGTGCTTTGGTGCACAGGAGGGGCATGATTAGAACACCGAGAAAGAACAATCTGACAATGGAAGGCAAGAGAGCTAGGATTCTAGGCAAAGGCTAGAATTATAGAGATCAGGCCTTTATAATGGTTTCAGAAAGAAGTTTAAATAACTTGACTAGATGGGAACATCAGAACACATGACAATGATAGAGGTACAATCTGGTGACAGATTAGGTGAGGAAGAAAGGAAGGGAAGAAATCAACGATGACTCTGAGGCCCTCCAAGAATGTCACTAAGTAAGGAAGGCCAAAGGAGAAACTGCCTGTCCAAGTAAAGGAAAAAGTTCAATAGTTTCAAAAGAGTAATCATGAAGTTCCAGAGGGACATTCAGTGTGGACCTGCGCCAAAGTCAACTAGTAAAAATGGATCTTGGGAGAAAGATAAAGTGGAGCTGAAGACAAACTGGAAATATCTATATTTTGTAATTGAGAGGAGAAAATGAGCCAGAAAATGACCCACAGAAAGAAGGGCCAGAAAAGCATGAAGATCTGGGTAGAGTTATGTTAGAGAAGTCAAAGAGAGAGCACCTTTGAAAAAAGAAAACCAGGTCAAATGATAGAGTGGTCAAGGAGAAGCAAGAGTGAGAACTGGCCATTAGATTTTATGCCTAGAAAACCATCTGAGATCTTGAAGAATTTTAAACTTGGAAGTGCTTCTCAGACTTTAATGGGACACAAATCACTTGAGGATCTTGTTAAAATGAAGATTCTGACCCATTAGTTCTGGGGTGGGACCCCCACAGTTGGGCATGTCTAACAATCTCCCAAGGGATGCCAGTGCTACTGGTCCACAAACCACATGGAGAAGACCAAAAGTGAGTGGTGAACAAGTGGTGAGCATGTGAAGGCCACAAGCAAAAACACTTTCAGTAAGTTTGGTCAAGGAGAAGAAATAAGGGATGGGATAGGGAATATAGGCTGTGAGTACTACAGGGATTAATAATCTGAGGGTAAAAAAAAAATCAAAACACTGTTTTTAAAGCATCCTCTGTCTTAGAAGCTCATCATGAGAGCTTTAATAAATGTGCTAAAGAAATTCAGTACATGATTCAGTTCTGTCTTTTAACCTGATTTGACCTGAGTGATTTAAAGTTTAAAGCTATGTAGGAACTAGAGAGTTCGATGACCATGTTGGTCAGCAAAAAATTAACATACGCCTCAATGATCCTACTCACTGGCTGATGAAACATCCCATTAGCTGCCCCATTCTTCTTCCAAGATACTTCCCGACTAGAGGGCGGCTCCCACAATGCAGTTCTCTCATACTTCAGCCCTAAGCCTCCCCAACTCATCCACACCTGTTTGATTAGGACTTAGTCTCTGTTGACAGAGTTTTATCTTTGGAAATGCCCCTGGCTATGCCAAAAAGACCAAGTTAAGCAAAGGATTAACTAACACACTCTCACTGATGCAGTCAAACCAGCACCCAGTTAAGAGACAGAAAACTATTGCAGGTAAGCACCCTCGAATGGCTGCCAAAATGCCCCATTAATCCCCCAGTGAAAGAATTTAGCCCCTGTCCTCTGACAAATGCCTGTGTGCTTTTAAATACAAACTCTATTCTTGAAAGAACTTTCATATTACCTTGATACACCCAAGAAAACAAAACATCCCCCTCAACCCACAAACAGTATCTGACTTGCCACGGTCAAGTGATTGTCCTGAGGCAAGTCCTAACTGCACAGAGAATCTCCCCCATTTAGGCGGTGCCAGAACTTTTGCTTCTACAGTTGACCAGAAAATTTTTGTGAACCATTTCCATTCTCTGGGATGGATTATTAATTGCTGGGAGAAACTGCTGTAGGAGGGGACCCAAAGAATATTAAATAAAAATATCATATGATCCTAAATGGACTGTTTTAAAAGGGAGAGTTTATAGGCAAAATACACTGTTCCTGCCATTCATGCAAAAATCACAGAATCACAGAAGGTTACAATCTGGAGAGGCCCTTATAGATCAGTAAAAGGACCACCTCTGAAGCTTGTTAAAAAACAGATTCCCAGGCCTCATCCCCTTCCACGGGCTTACTGACCCAAACTCTCCAGCGGTGTCCAATTAACTCACTTTATTTATAAGATCCAGAGTATGCTCGCTTCAGCAGCACATATATTTATAAGATCCAGAGAAGTGACTTTCCTAAGATCCTCAGTGTTTATTTCAAAGTACACTCCACCTCATTTCAAAAGAGATCCAAGGCAGAAATCATAGGGCTGATAATGCTATCAAGGACTGAACATAGGCCCTTAAAAAGGATTCGGGTCAATGAATACTTTGAGGACTAATTTTATGTTATCTAGTTCAGAGTCTTACTGAAACACAGAGAGTTTTGCTCTCTGATCCAGGTGCCCAAAAATAGCATTCCTCTCACAAGGGAAATAGAATTCCACTGTGCCAACACTCTCTTGGTCACACTTAAGCCCCAAACTGCTTTACAGAGCCAAATTTTCAGTCAGGTGTTTTAAAAGTTCTTAGCAGACACTAGGAAAATCAGACAAGCAGCAGGGGGCGGGGAGAAACAAGACATCATACCACCGACCATCACCTAATCACTCTTTTCCCCCAAGCTGGATGAGTAGGGAGACAGGAGTATTGGAGCAAGAATATGCAGGTATCAGTGCTATATGCCCAATGAAGCAGTACACTTCATACCCCTTCCTTTATCACAAAACTAAAATCATGCCATTGTGCTGACTGTATCCTCCATGCCAGGGGTTTCTTGGAGGATTCAGACACCACTTAATAAACTCACTCACACCAGACCTCCTGCTTATCAGTCTGAAAGGACACATCAAAACACCTTGTCCTTAAAACCTCTTGGGGGCCCAAATGAAAGACAGTTGGACTTAACAAATCAACACGCAGCTCCATACATTATATGGCTTTAAAGAGGGGAAAAAAGAAGAGCTTAGTGAAAATAGGAACAACTTGCTTAAAGATGGACAGGATGCAGTCAGGCAAAGCAGGAAGAAAGGCATCTCGCCCCATGCTTCGTTCCCAGCTCCAGCTGGTTCTTAGCATTGAAGTAGAGCTTGTGTCAGCTCTGACCTAAACTGTGCTATGTTGCACCAGGGCCAGAAGAGCTGGACAAAACAGAATCCATGCCTCCTATTGGCTTTAAACAGTTATCTGGTCCACTGATAGCCATCTTGCAAAGCTAGAACATGGGTTTCCATAGCCACACTGTCTCCTGAAATCCCAACACACTTCCACAGCCATTTCAAACATACCTGAGAACTAAAAAGTCAGGCATTATTGGTCCCATTCCAACCATGTGTTTAGTCCATTACCATTTCATGTAATTATTGATATGGTTTGAGTCAACCATGTTACCTCTGTTTTGTCTATTTTCTGTTCCTTTGTTTCTCCTTTCCTGCCTTCTTATAGAATTTTTTTTTTTTTAGAATATTTTATAAATAGATCTGTTGGCTTTTTGGTTGCATCCCTTGCATTTTTTTAAAAGTTGCTCTAAAATTACAATATACATCTTCCATTTGTCACAAGTTGCTTACAATCCTATTATACCACATCATGTAAAAGGAAGAAATCATACAACCGCAGGAATGTTACCCCAGCCCCAGACTTAATGCCACACTTGTCACATACACACTTTATCTACATACCCTATCAACGCTAAAAGACTACTAGAGTTTGGAGATTAAAGGATAACATGCATTTTTTTTTTTTAAATTCAGAGGAAAAAGTCTTTTTCTGCTTACCACCTATTTGTCACATCTGATGCTCTTCTTGCTTCCTCAAGAAGGGTTTCTATTCTTCAGCCTAGCGAACACCCTTTGTCATTTCTTGGCATGCTGATCTGCTAGTGATGATCTTAGTTTTCTTCTTAGTGAAAATATCTTTATTTCACCTTCATTCTTCAAGGGTTATTTTTGCTGAATAGAGAATTCTCAATTTACAAAGGTTTTGGGTCCCCCCCACGAACCCTTATAAGCCCTTTAAAAGATGTCCTACTGTCTTCTGGCCTCCGTTGTTTCAGATAAGACACTAAGGTGATTCACATTGTTGTTCTCCTCTAAGCAATGTGTTCTTTTCTCTATTCAAGATTTTTTCTTTATCTTTTTATGGGGCGGGGGGGAGATGAGGTAGGGAGTAGTTTAAGATATGCCTAGGTGTGGTTTGCTTTAAATTTACCCTGCCTGGTGATCACTGAGCTTTCTGAATCTGTAAATTTGTGTCATTCACCAAATTTCAGGTATTTTTCAGCCATTATTTCTTCAATTTTTTTTTTTTTTGCCCCATTCTTTCATTTCTCCTTCTGGGACTCCTTCTGTGAGATACCGTCTCACAGGCCCTTGTGTCTCTTTTGCCTTTTGTTTTCCCTTCTTTTTCTCTCCTTCAGACAGTAATTTCTATGGATTTTTCATTTCTTTCTATGACATCTTCATTCTACCATTAAGCTCATCCAGTGAATTCTTTGGTATTATAATTTTTAGGCCTAGATTATTATTATACTATTATTAGAATAGAATAATCAAATACTATTCCTCTGTTGAGATTTCATATCCTTTTCTACATTGTGAGTATATTTCTCTTTATGTCTTTGAGCATATTTATAACCGCTACCTTAAAATCTTCACTTGCTATTCCATCACCTGGGTCATCTTGGAGTTGGTCCCTGTTACTTTTCATAATGCAGTGGGTAATTTTAGATTTTTGTCTTGGATGTCTTGAATGATATGTTGTATAAATTCTGAATTGTGTAAAGTTTCACTGAATATCATTTTTTTAAGCATGCAGTTAACCTGGCTGAAAGAAAAGCACAAAACACTGTCCCCCCCTGAAGCAGGCAGCAATTCCAATTTCAGTTCAATTGTTTTAGCCTTACTAGACTAGCAGTCAATCTAACCTACAGATGGCTCATGGTCCAACTAAAGAACAGATTTTATCCATACAATTTGGAGATTTTATATATACAGTTTTATACATGCACACAACAAATGACTCACCCCTCTCAGGCATTATTCCCCTCTTTCCGGAGGCTAAGGTTGCTCTGAACTTTGGTCTCTGATTATTCAAGCCCATAAAAATCATGCTTTCTATCAAGTTGTATCCTTCCCTCATGGCATCAACTGAAGCCTGTCTTCAAGATATAACCTGTAGAAAATGAGAAAACCATCCTATGCCTTTCCCTTCCTTCAAAGATCAACAGCTTCTCTAGGATCTGCCTGCTTCTTCCTCCCCTAGGTGGGATCTTGTAGTTGATCTCTAGTTTTCTTTAGAACTTCCTTACGGGACAACAGAGCAGAAAGCTATGGACCCAATGGACTCCTCTCAGCAGGATCAGAAACTGTCCTTCTGCATTAGATATATATGGATGCTGACAACCCAGCCCCTTGGGATTTACTGGAAGGGACCATCAGATCATCCTATCTCTTATTATGGTAGGAATCCCCTCCTACACAGACTCTAAAAGCTTCCATCCTTCGACATTGTCCACTTCATTCTCTGTGGCTTTAAATATTGGCAAATTCTTCCTTATATTTAACTGAAGTCTGCTACCCTATAATTATCATCCCTGGCCATAATTCCTAATTCCAAATTGTGAGCCCCGAGAGCAGGGACTCTATCTTACTTGTATTTGCATCTCCAGTGCCTAGCACAAAGTAGAGACTAAGAGAACTGATCAGTGAATTAATTAACATCATTACAAACAACAGCAGATAGAAGTCTACACCTACTTCATCATAGCAGTTTTACACCTACTTTTAGGGGTTATCATTTACTACATTCTTCTGTCCAACAAAGTTTCTCTTCTCCAGTCTAAATGACCTTTGGTCATTTAATTACTTCCCATGTGGTAGGATTTCTAGAATCCTCTGACCTCTTAGACACACTACCTACCACTGACCAATGTCACTTAAAACTTCTCAGGAATTCATTCCTTCTCAAGATATAAAAAAACCACAAAAGAACATCACTTCCACACTAAAAAGAAAAAGCCAGATAACCTACAAAATCCTAACTTTTCTCCACTCCATCAGAGAGCTGATGTTACAAGGCAAACAAGTAAATGGAATTCCAAAGTGTGACTTGTCCCTCTCCAAGGGAAGACAGGACACATGAACTATTTCATGTTTGGCAGAGCACAGGTTGAAGGGGCAGCCACCATAAAAGCAAATAAAAAGAAATCAGCTGGAATTTTAACAAACTTGTAAATGTTAAACGTGGGCTAACCAAAGACCTTAGAATTCCTGAGAGTCCCAGACACAAGGAGAGTCTTTAGTCACTCATCAGCTTTTTTCCATGCTGTTCACAAGAGAGACTAAGACCAAGAAAGAGACATAGGAGATTCCCCTACATTGTGTACAGGCAGGAAATCTTGCCTAATTCCCAGCCCCTTCTCTTGTTAAAAAACAGAAAGAAAGAACGCAGAACTCATAAGCCTCTGAGGAAGAACAGTCCCAAGTAAAGGTCACTGCCACTAAAGAAGAGCTAGATGCAAAACATGTCTGTCCCTCGGTGGGGAAGGAGTAGAAAAACATGTTCAGGTACAGCATCTTGCATATAGAGAAAGCAGGGACCTGCTACCACTGGAAAAGGGATAGGAAATGTTCTTCTACCCAGAAGTCCTTACCAATATGAGACAGAACAATATTCATGCCTGGGACCTAGGCCCACAGGACCTGTCGAAGCCTGAGCCTGGAGCATGGGAAGAAAGCAAACCCTACCCACCACCACAAGTTTCACAGTAAGTAACAAGCAACAGCAGGCTAGCCCTCAAGGAGGGGGAAGGGAACAGAGATCCATTTTTAGTGTAGGCACATGGACCAGTTGAGAGTTATGGCTAGAGGGAGAACATGAGGAAAACCTTGTTTTCCAGTTCCCTGAGAAGCACAGGTAGCAGCAAGCCACCACTGTCGGAATTTGAAGTCTTCCCTACAACAAAAATTTAGATCCAGTTCAATTACTGACTATATGGACTCAACTCCCCACACTAACTTCCCAACAGAAGTGTCTCCATTTCCAGATATCAATACTTCTTACCTCTGTTTCTGTTCTTTTACATACATTGTCCAGCATTTAATCAAAAATTATATGACACACAAAAAAGCAAGAAAAAAATAAAATACTCTTGGTCAAAAGATGAAGTAGTCAACATTACCAGAGCAAGAGATGATAAAGATGTTAGAACTAAGAGCGGTTTAATATAACTATTACTAAATTTTTTTTTTAATCTAAAAGGTGAACATCATGCATGAACAGATGGGTAATTTGCAGAAAAAAACAAAGAAAACTTTAAAAAAAATCAAATGAAAATGCTAGAAATAAAAAGCATGATACAAAAGAAGAATTCTTTCAATAGGCTTATCAGCAGACTAGACACAGCAGAGTAAAAGATTTATGAACTTGAAGAAAAAGAAATTAACCAAACTAACATTGAAGAAAAAAGCAGAAAAAGAAAAGAGCATTCAAGAGCTATGAGATAATCAAATAGTGTGACATATATTTGGGATTCCAGAAGTAATGCAAGCAGAAAGGGAGTGGGAAAAAATGTTTTAAAATAACCAAGAATTTTCCAAAACTACTGAAAACGTCAAACCACAGTTCAAAGAACCTAAGAAATCCTCAAGTGGGATGTGGGGAGGGAAGAACATAGGCACATCATAACAAAACTACTAAAAAACAAAAAAATCTTGAAGGCAGTCAGAGGGGAAAAATATATAGAAGAACAAAGCTGAGAAGGACATCAGACTTGTCAACAGAAAGAATGCCAGGCAGAAGAAAATGGGATGACATCATTTAAGTACTGAAAGAAAAAACTAACTGCAATCTTGTACACACTGAAAATATCTTCTAAAAATAACAGTAAGATAAGAATGTTTCAGACAAAGAAAAACAGAGAATTCACTGCCAATATCCATTACCCACACTAAAAAGATGTTAAAGTTCTTCAGGCAAGAATCAAATACCAGAAGAAATCTGGATCTACATAAAGAAATAAAGTGCTTCAGAAATGGTAAAAATATGGGTAATATGACATTTTCTTAATTTATATCACCTTAAAAGATAACTAGCTCTGCAAAATATATTTAGTTTGCAAATAAACTAAAAAAAATTTTAAACAGAATATTTTAATTTTCCTATTAAAATGAGCAAATAGAGAAACATTTTCCCTGGTTTTTAAAGAAAGGGGGGTAACTGCTATCTGAAGAAAAAATTATCTGGGAGTTTATAACATAGGTAGAAGTAACACATAAGACAACCATTAAACCAAGGATAGGAAGAAGGAAATAGAAGTACACCACTGTAAGAGTCATAAACTATACATAAAATGATGTATTATTTGAAAGTAAACTGTGATAAGAGATATACCATACACACTAATAAAACCACTAAAAATTTTTTTTATTTTATTGTTATGTTAATCACCATACATTACATCATTAGTTCTTGATGTAGTGTTCCATGATTCGTTGTTTGTGCATAACACCCAGGGCTCCACGCAGAATGTGCCCTCCTTAATACCCATCACCAGGCTAACCCATATCCCCACCTCCCTCCCCTCTAGAACCCTCAGTTTGTTTTTCAGAGTCCCTCGTCTCTCATGGTTCGTCTCCCCCTCCGATTTCCCCCCCTTCATTCTTCCCCTCCTGCTATCTTTTTTTTCTTAACATATATTGCATTATTTGTTTCAGAAGTACAGATCTGTGATTCAACAGTCTTGCACAATTCACAGCGCTCACCATAGCACGTACCCTCCCCAATGTCTATTACCCAGCCATCCCATCCCTCCCACCCCCTACCACTCCAGCAGCCCTCAGTTTGTTTCCTGAGATTAAGAATTCCTCATATCAGTGAGGTCATAGGATATTAAAAAATTTTTAAGAGAAAAAGATCTAAGTTTTTCTGGAGATAAAATAGAATCATAAATATATAAAATCATAAATATAAACAAATAATTTAAAA